CTCATTCACGTATGGAGACCTTGAACTGGTAAAGGAAGTCGATCAGCAGCCACAATTCGATTGGTACAGACAATACTTAGCCAAAAGTACTCAGGCAGACTTTGCGGACTCGAAACATGTATGGCTTTATCAAGGAGAAAAGGGATTAAAGGTAGGGCTCTTTTTTACACAGATACCTTGAGGAGTCATGACTGAATAATTCTCGGGTTAGAAATGGAAGCAAGATCTAGAACTGCTGTCAAAGATTAGGTATCTTTGTTATCATGTCAATTCCTTAATGTGATGTTTGCTCAACGGAGCTCAGGCATCCGAACATAATACAGATGTTTGGGTATAGCAAGACTCCTGAACACGCTGCTCTAGTCTTCCATCAAGGTTGATTCTCGTTCTTTTCTTACAGAAGCTTTGATGTTCAGTCCCATCAGGTCCTTCTCTGCGAGTAGATGGCTATCTGGAGATGTTTTCTGATGATCCAATCGAGCTTACCATACAAGAGTATCAAGTCGTACGCATAATTTCATTCCGTGAATTGGATCACGCCTAACGTATCTAACAGATCAATGGGTATCGGGTACGTTTAGCCTTCACAAGGTTCAATTTTCATCGCACTCAAAATTCATACAAGACGGGTTTTGAATATCTAAGGCATTGCATGCTAGATTTTGATTTCGACTTCTTCACATCCCTTCTAATGGTCGATGGTACCTCCGACTGCGAACATAGCGATCATATAATCGCACTCCAAACACACGTCGTACTTGAAACTGGAATGACCTTACTAGCTTTCCATGTTACACCTTCACTGACACATAGGATACCGAATCACTATGGAGCTTCTGGCTCATCTTTATGCGAAATACCATCAACGTGGAGTACGAACCCCCATCAAAAAGTGATCAACACGTTAAGAACGACTAATGCATATATACAACATCCACCAGATATTCATAGGCCTCCAGCTATTCACCTCATAGATGTGATGAGTGGCTTTTGCACGTTATTAGAATCACAATTCTTCAAACTGGACAGCCTGACACAGAGAGGCACTGTGATCAATGATTTGGGACTGATAGATGCTGGTAGCGGAAGAAGACATTGGTTGCTACAAGAAACCGCCGAGCTTATGACTAGGGCAGAGGCGCCCGTTTGGAGGGGGAGCGTATCTACTACTATAGTTATTCAGCAGCGCTGCACAAATTTAAGAGGATATACGAGGTGGGCGAATCGGATACCACAAATTGAAGGGCACGCAAAATTTTTAATGTTTTGATTTTAGATTCAGTTTCCCCGCTTCGTGGTTACAAGGCGGCGAGACATACGCCGACTGGTCTTTCAAACTTCCATCATTGAACTCCGATTTTGCTATGAAAATCCTCTTCTCTTACGTCAATGTCATACTTTCTGAGATAGAGTCTAGAGCAGAACGGTATCGCAGACCTGTCATAACCACGCAATTGGCCTGCGAGTTTCGACTGGAAGGAAAACGGGATTGCAAACCTTGGATGACCACGCGATATTCCTGGGGGTGTCAACTGGTATCATACGAGTATCGGGCAGTGATGTATGGGAAGCTCACCCATCCGTCATATTTTCTCTTCGTCAGCGACCCGACACTCAGCAAGAAGAGAAGACCCTGCGGAGATCCTGATATGTATTGGTCGATAGACCCATCCGGTACTGAAAGGCTCGGACCAACAGAACTTTTACGAACAGGGCTGGTCCTACCGAAAGTGAAGTGGGTTAGCTACGACCTGGAGTTCTCTTACAAGGTCCTGAACCGATTCAGGCTCCTCCTTCGGAAATGCGGTGTAGATCCTTCTAATGCCAAGGAGATTAGTGAGCTCCTTGATATTCCATTCATTCCTCTTCAAGAACATTATACACATAGACAGGTATGTGCAGATAAATCATCAATGGCAGTGGATCTGATTATTTTCTTGATGTAGAGGAAAAATAATAAACGAAGAGCTTCTTCACTACCACCCCCAGGATCTGGCCGATTTTTCAGCCAGGACTACTGTTATTCGAACACCTCGGATGAAGTTCTTTATTCGACCGCTCCGGATGGAGTTCTTAGCCACGAGCGGAAGCGAGAACGTGACACCATACCTCGTATAAACCAGCGGTACTCCAGAATAGCAGCACTTACTCCTGCTATTACAACTGCGGCCTTATGCTTGGAGATGAACGACAAATTTTGGGGACCAAGTTTTCCTAAAGAAAGATTTCGTTGTTATATTTAAAATTTCTTTATAAGTATATATCCAAGAAAATATGTAATTAAAATGGGTATCACCCTTTTCGGCTGATCCTTAGATATACTATATCCCTTATCAAAATGAGAAGTGATTGAGTTGCTTTTCTCAGAAATCCGTGGTTCAGTTCCTGAGATATAAAAATCACAGTTTCTGATTTGTTGACCAGGAGAGTATCCTCATGTTTTTACCAAACTGAATGGGTATAGGCAGAGATTTTTGTCAAGATGCCATTCTATAGGCCGGGGGAATTAGCTAATTCTGCCAAAGCACATGTTTCGGGCTGGTTTTTTTATATGTTAGAGTCCTACTCAAATGCTAAAGAATGAGCCATCATTCATGAAAAATGGCGCGCCAGTTCTTGAGATATAAAAATCGCAGGTTTTGGTCAAGCGGGAGGAGGACAACAAAACACGATATCTGTTTGGAGTATAGAAAGATGCTGGTTTCTATGTCTATTTTATTATACCTCATTTACCATGCTCTAAATGGCTAGAAGCACCTATATTTGATGAAAATTTGAAAGTATGCAATGTAGGAAGAGAGGGAGGAGGAGGGGGAAGTAATGTGGTATTTTTCCGACACATACCGAAGGCTAGTATGATCTCAATATGGTTCTGAAGACTATAGAATGTAATGTGGGATGGGGGTGTATGAACAATGGCTTGTATGTAGGAGGAGAGAGAGGAGGAGGGGGAGGTAATGCGGTATTTTCCCGAAACATACCAAAGGCTAGTATGATCTCAATATGGTTCTGAAGACTATAGAATGTAATGTAGGATGAGGGTGTATGAACAATGGCTTGTATGTAGGAGGAGAGGGAGGAGGAGGGGGAGGTAATGCAGTATTTCCCGAAACATACCAAAGGCTAGTATGACTTCAATATGGTTCTGAAGACTATAGAATGTAATGTAGGATAAGGGTGTATGAACAATGGCTAGGGGGGAGTGGGGGAGGGGGAGGGAGAACCAGTATTGCTCTCAAACATACTAAAGGGTGGAATGACTTTTGTTTGGGAGGAGACTATTAATTTATTATGATACTATCTATTCTATTAAACATTCAATCATCTTCCAGATCTTCACTCTCAATGCTGAATTGGTCTGAATCCTCCTCACTCTCCTCCTCATCCTCTACATGTTCTCTGCCAGTGTTCTCTCTGCTACTTGATAAATCCTGTTGTGGTACCTGTTCAACTTCTGGACCAATCTCTGACAGGTTACTAGTCCTGCTCTGTTGATGGTTTAATTGGGGAGGCTTCCTCTTATTCCTACTTCTTGTTGTTCGTCTATCCTGTTTGTGGGCCTGCTGGTTATAACCCTTGATCTGTTTGAAAGCATGATCAAAGGGGACTTGTAGCTGATCTGCAATGAGGAGAGCCTCAATATGAGTGTGAGTAGCTACTGCTCTTGGACGAGGTTGCTTCTGGGTCTTCTTATGGTGACCAACACCACAAATCTTGTAGGTTTTAGCATTGATAATAAAGGTTGGACCTCCCTTTTCTGAGTGATACTTCCATGGCTGGCTGTTGATGGCAGAACATTTATCAGGAAGACATTCAAAGAGTTCAAAGGCAGCTTTAAGGCCATCTTGAAGACTAAGGATTTCATGATCTGATTTGGTGTTCAGAAAATGATGGTAATCCTTAAGATAACCTGTAGTTTTGAGAAGATGCCAGAGTGAACTTGTTGAAAAGTGAGTTTCCAAGGGAGGGAAAAAAGCATTAAATCTGTCTCCAAATGAAAGCTGCCTTGGCCCATGGGGTAAACCTGTCCAATGAGCTTTGTGAGGCTTAAAAGCTGGAGCATGGAAGACATCCTGGATTTGAAGAACAGTCCAGAAGTTAAGGATATCCTGCCAATTTACTGGTTTTGGATAGTTTTCCTGATGCTTCAAAAAGGTCTGATTGACTGTGCATGTATAGTTGTGTGTGCACTTGGAAAGAAGGTGGATAACAAGATGATGAATCTGACCTTGTTCTGATTCCCAAAACATCAGGTTTGGACGAGTGTTGACAATGAGTGTGGGATTAGTATTGAGAATGTCTATAATGTCCTCCCATGATGGATGTGTTCCAAGAGGATACTCTGCAGTTCTCCTGGGATCCTCTGAAAAGTCCTTTGGACACTGTTTACACTTTCCCCTTGTATTAGTAAGATACTGAAGAACACTATCATCATCTGGTTCCATCTGATCAACAGCTAGTGTTTTGCGATGAAGAGTTGGAAGGAAAAAGATACCAAAGTGTTGTGAGCTTGGTTGGAAGTTAAGATCTCGTAGTACAAAGTGAGTGAAAGAATGTTCACGAGGGTTGGTAACAGTACACTTGATGAGATACATAATTAGAAGCGTGAGATTACAAGCATTGGATGGCCTGTTCTTTGCAACCCTTGTTTGAAGAAAGCTTAATTCCTGGATACGTCTGATCCAAAACTCAAAGTAAATGTTGGAAGGTATCCAGGCAACTGTATTTGCTTCAATATAGGACTTCATCTGTAAAAGGAGTGAGGAGAGTGTGATTGAATGGGATAGAAAAGATATATACCTTTTGCTTTGCAACTGGAAGAAGAGCTTTAACAGTCTGAATAGAAGCTCTTGACTGATCTCTAACACCATAGCTTTCTGGAAAGTGGATATTGCCTCTCACAATCTCAAAGATGAGATTATAGGCCATGGAACTTCACTCAGTGCAAAACCTGGGGTGATGTAACGTACACTCTAATCCGGTGTTCCTAAGCCAAAAAATGTACTGACCGGGAATTGAACCCAGGACCAATGGTAAACTACACAATGCATTTTACCACTAAGCCATCAGACCTACTGGAGACTCTACCCTTCCTTGAGGATAATGTGTATTATTACTTTGGCTCTTACATTACTGAGTCTTTTGAACCCGCAAAGTGCTTGAATCATCTGGGTGCCCAAATTATATGAGTATATAGATAGAACAAGTGAGCTTTGAAGCTCAAGTCCAATCCCGAATAAGTTACAGTGTGCAGGGGTGCAGAGGCGCAGGAGCGCAGCCCCCGAATAAAGAGCTGGATATCCACGGCCGTAAATACCCAGCTGGATGTTCACGGCCGCGCAAGGACAGCTGGGTATCCACGGTCGTAAACACCCAGCTGCTGCGCGGCCGTAAACATCCAGCTGGTGTTTACGGCCGTGAACACCCAGCTGGGTGTTGACGGCATGTCACGGCCGCGAATATCCAGGTTGGGTGTTCACGGCATGTCGCACAGTGACACACTGTCATGGCCGCGAATACCCAGCTGGTAGTTCACGGCGGTAAACACCGCCGTAAACATCCAGCTGGATGTTTATGGCCACGCAAGCCCAGCTGGGGGTTCACGACCATGGAGGCCCAGCTGGATATCCACGGCCATAAATACCCAGCTGGAGGTTTACGGCCGTGGACATTCAGCTGGGCCTGCGCGGCCGTAAACACCCAGCTGGGTATTTACGGCCGTGGATATCCAGCTGGGCCTGCACGGCCGT